TGGGTTGTTTTTTCCTATGCCCCAAAGATTAGGGTCCGTATCCAACACGCTCCAGAAATCATTACCGTCATTCCATGTGCCTCCCTGTGGAGGGGGGTCATCGTTTCCTCCATCGACGACCTTATCATCTGCTTCACCAGGGGCTGGATTAGGAACCGCGGGAGCAGCTGCACTGGGATCACTGGACGGATTCTGGACTTCAGGGGAGGAAGTTTCTTTAGATTCCTTTTGAGAACCATAAGGCTGGCCTTGGTCTTTGTTGGGATCACCGTGTTCACCCTCATCAATGGACTTCGTGTTACCATGAGGTCCCGCACTCGCTTTAGGCTGGGTATCAGGGTCCTGCGCATTAGAGGCCTGCGGTGGTGCCTGGGATCCTGAATGGACATACAGAAAAGTGTAAATGACGAAACTAAAGCTTTGTGCGGTGGTTGTCCACACGGTCCGTCGTTTCACGGGTGACCCGTGTATTGGGACGGCGGGGCAGGGTGCCACCGCGGGAAAAGACTCTCTCTCTCCCACACAACACACACACACACACAGTGTGTGTATCGTCTACGTCTGTCGACGTCTACAACCCGCGGCTGTCTCGGTCTGCCGCTCATTCTCATTCGACGTTTGGTTTCTCTCGCTAAGTGTGGTCGCGCCTGCCGTCTCCGGAAAAGTTGTTTTTGTTTCTTTGTTGTTGTGTTGCTCTTTCGTTTTCACACTTGTGCACATGTGTGCTGTATGTAAACTCTGGTGAACACTTTTGTGCTCGCTCCTCAAGCATGAGTGCGAGATGACGCGAACTCTTGGCTCCTATTACTCTTGTTGTCCGTAGGGTTAGAATTATTTGGCGGACTGTTCGGAGTGCGCAGAAGTTCGTTAATCTTTTCACATGACGGTTGACCTTCAGGGATATAGCGGCCTTTGGTAATGCGCACACTGGAACCTGCATGTGACTCTGTGCCGGGGCCCGCACCATTGGAGTGGTCGTGAGCACAAGTATACTCACCTGTTTCAGTGTCATTGTGGTTCTTTGGTGTGCTCTCTTCCTTTCTTGCAGGGTCCTGTAACGGTGGTGGTGGAGGTGGGGGGGGTTGTTGTCCAGGTCCTGGTCCGTGGCCCCCTGATTCTCCTGTTCCCAAGCCCCCAGTGTCCTGTGCTGATGGTGGTGCCGCAGGTGGGGGTCCTGCCACGGGTTGTGTGTCGTCTGTATCTTCCTTCCTTGCTGCGTTTCGTCCTGTGTCTGTTCCCTGTGCTGGAGGTGCTCCTGTTCCTTCTGGTGATGTTTCTCCCCCCTTGCCTTGTGTTTTGTCTTCTGTTGTCCCATTCGTTGGTAATGTTGTTGCCGGCTTGGCGCCTTGTGGTGTGGGTGCTGCCGGTTTTGTTGCAACGGATGTGCCGGCCACAGAGGCGGGTGTCGCCCGTGGTGCACTGTTCATTCTCTTGGATTCAACCTGCTGAAGGCCTTCCTGGAGCTTCCTCAATATGTTGCTTCCATCCGTCTCATCCTTTATCTGTATTAACACTTCAGTCGCGTCCTCCTTCGATAATTCATCTTTACTATCGGCCAACTGTTTTAAATCGTCCAGACTAATTGTCCCTAGTACACCCTGTGGCTCTATCTCTTCGTGTGTATCCTGCCCGCTGTTGGTGCCTGCCTGAATTGTGGTGTGGTCGACACAAGAGGCGTGCATATAATCTTCCATGATTGCGTGCCACCGACTACTGTTCTCCTCGATCCATTCCGTAATGGTTGCTCCTACCAACTTGTACCCTATTTTTAGTGTATCGAAATCCAATCCGTTGCATGCACTATTACTAGTGTCCACTGTGGCCATTGTCCGCATGGCCTCTATGAGCGCGCGTGCATGTGGAACCAAGTTGTTGAATTGACACTGCGGTGCAAATTGTGTGGCTAAAGTGACGTATCCTACCATGCACCTCATGAATGAGTGTATCGGGTCCTCAGGCTGAATTACATGCGACGGCGTTGCGGCCGCTGTTCGCATACCATCCATAAAATAATAAACTTTCATGATGTCCTTGCATAAGGATGAATCCTCCGGGCCTAGTGTGAACGTGTGCCCATCCTGCACGATAGATGAGCACAAGGAGTCTAGTTCAGGCCTGTGTTCCTCCATTGCATCCAATAACGCGTCATATACTGTTTTAACGTCCCCCCAGAATATTTCCTACAACAAACACGTAAAAAATACGTAGGTGTATACATAATTCTGCTTGTTCCATGATCACGTCAACGCCTATATTCCGCTACTGTAAATGTATGTAAATCTACAGTTCGCGCACATCCTGCCCTTAGTGTACTGAACTTACGCTGAAACTGCCCGTCCCAGTATCGCCCTCTTGCACATCGGCCCTTATTCTCCTTTTCGTAGTATAATCCACCAATAGGTCCCCTAATTTCTCGGCCATTTTTCTTCTATTACTGTAACTGTGTATTCAACTGTTATTGCGCATACTGCACTGCTTCATGGTTCGTCCACGTGTCCAAAACTGCCCTTGGCTCGTCACAGGAGTGGCTGTGTTCACATTAATAAAACATATGCGTGAACTAAACGCTGTAGAAGAATTGTATGTTGCATGAATAATGGGGAAACACGAAAAAAAAAGAAAATAAAAAACCGAATATATAGAAAATAGAGAACAAAGGAATAAAGGAAAGGAAAAAAAGAATAACAAACAGGAACAACCAAAAAAAAAAAAAGAGAAAAAAAAGAATAAATGGGACAAGAAGGAAAATATAGGAAAGGTACAACACCGTCATGAATACATCCCCCCCCTTCTCCACTAACCACCATTCACACACGTTGTCTCTGTGAGTACACCTAAAAACCGCAGTAATAACAACAACAACAACAATTCTTCTGCCGTCGTTGCTGCCTTTGCTCCGAGACAATCCTCCTCCTTCTTACACTTGGCTACTTCGTCGAATCCTTCTTGCACGCGGACAATCCGTTTACCCGTCCGCGTGACTCGACGCGTTGCTCGGACAGACAATCTCCACCGTCTTACATTCGGACCGACCTGTTGCTTGGAGACAATCCAGTGTACAAGGACGAGGTGAGGGAGACGTGGGAGAGAAGCCGTAGAGGCGCCCGGCAGCAGAATAGGAGGGATGCCAGAGAAGGAAGCGCAGAATGCGCAAGAGCACAAGAACAAAGGAAAGAAAAAAAAAATCAAGGTCAG